TCAAATTTTTTTACGAAAATGATTACGTGTCATTTTGTTAAGAATTTTTTTAAAAGAGGACATAATCAAACCAATCAAAGACCCATGACTTAGACGTTTTAAGAGTCATTTTAGGCTAGAATTAGAATTAAGATTAGTCTTAGAGACTCTTCATTAGTTTGAAACTTTCTAGATTAATAAAAATGTCCTTCTATTTTGTTAATCGATTTGCTATCACTTTACTTGCTTTAATTCCATCAACGGTGATTATCCAAAGAAGTCCTGAAACAAAACAATTGAACCCAAAATCAAACAATTGCTTAAAATCTATATGTAAAAGGGATTAAATCCATTTATTATAGGAAAAATTCTTTGTGGAGATCAACAATTTTTGTGCATGTCTGATGGAACAAAATTACTAACTTGGATGAAGTATTGTGCGAACGAGGGAGCAAGATGAAGGAGTAATTGGAATAGAGGGCAACAAAAACATGAAGGCTGTGCCTAGCAATGCCAATTACGTTGAAGGGAGTTCAAGTTCCAACATTGTGGAACTTGCCGCACAACGAAATGGCCAGAATACTACATAGATGCAAGATTGTGTGCAAAACCTGAGACAGGTATTACTTGATCCTTATTCAAGCATTAGACAAGATTTAATGAATGTCATGCATGGATCGATGAGTGTCCAGACAAATATGTTAGGATATGTGAATCAACAATCCTCTTATGTTATTAGAAATCGAACATTAAAGGAAGAAAATACCAATCCAGTTGTAATTCACGTCGAAAATTAAGGGCCACCAATGATGGCACCCAACATAGTTCCTAGTTTTCAACATCAAAATCACTTCAATATGATGTTTGAAGGAGAACTTGTTGATATTTTTCCTAATTTCTATCACCTAAGAAATCCTAGGGGTAGAAATGAGCTAAAGATGGGTCAGGAACATCCCAAGAGGAAACGTGAGAGAGGCACACTATGCCTACTATGGATCTATTTGAGGAAATGAACCCCAGGCTTGGGGGCAACCCATGTAGCCATTTGAAAATATATAAGTTCATAATAATATGACTGTCAATAAAAACCAACTAATAAAAATGATTCAAGATTTGTATGGTCCTCAAATTCGAATGATAAAAAGACCAGTTTTTAGAAAGTACCCAATGGGTAGAATTTTAGGAGTTTATCAGAGGGTATAAAATCTCTAAATTCAATTTGTTCTCTGAAGAAAAGAACCAATCTACCATAGAACATATTAGTAGATTTACCTTCCAGTGTGAAGAAGTTGGGAACAATGAGAAATTGAAAATACAGTTATTCTCACAATCCTTAACTAAAACAACATTATAGTCATTAAATTGATAGCAGTCCTAAACTAAACTACAATTGAATCCATTGTCAATCTGATGATAAAAAGTGATTCAGACAAAAAATAAGAGCAGCAAATTAGGTGCAAGTAAAATTGCTCATGTAACATCACATATTCAAGTTATATCATTGAAAGAAATTAAGATGAATGAACGTATAGTTTAAGTTGTATCAATCGTGGAAGAAGATTAAGAAATTAATAGATAAAAGGCATTTATGCATTAATGATTTGCTTAAATGAACAAATAATTATTGATTTATGTGGAGTTCAATTTCTTTTTTGTCTACATATTATTAATTGGTAATACTACGTAATATTGCTGATATGATATCACATTTTTTTTTCTACCGACCCTTCTGACGTCTCTATAAGCTCATTCAACTAATTATCCACATCCAAGTTCAATTAGTAACATGCTCCCAATTGGACATTTAACAAAGTCGAAGAATTTCACACAAGCAGTCTAAAAGTGTAGGGTTACCATGAGACGAATTATAAATTTAGACATCGAGAGTTTAATTGGTACTTTATTTTTTGTGTTTGATTTGATACATACGGTAGAACGTGATCATAGACATAAAAAATTTACTTTGCAAGGGTAGGTCCAATGTGACTCAATTAAGAAAAATTTTAGAGTTAATAGTACTTTTGGTCTCTAATCAAATAATTTGTTAAGTGTTTTTGATGGAAATAATCATATGTTATTCTTTCAGGTAGTATCAATGACCAATATGTGATTATTTCAATAAAAATTTAACGATCTATCTATGTAGGGACCATTTAAACAGGAATTAACACTACAACAAAAATTATTTTTTGCGATAATTTTGTCTCAAATTATTTTTTGCGACGTTTTTTTTTCGTCACAATAGTCTCGTCGCAAATTTTTTTTTTACATAAATAAAAATATGAAAAATAATAATTTAATTCATTTTTTGTGAGGTANCAATCGTGGAAGAAGATTAAGAAATTAATAGATAAAAGGCATTTATGCATTAATGATTTGCTTAAATGAACAAATAATTATTGATTTATGTGGAGTTCAATTTCTTTTTTGTCTACATATTATTAATTGGTAATACTACGTAATATTGCTGATATGATATCACATTTTTTTTTCTACCGACCCTTCTGACGTCTCTATAAGCTCATTCAACTAATTATCCACATCCAAGTTCAATTAGTAACATGCTCCCAATTGGACATTTAACAAAGTCGAAGAATTTCACACAAGCAGTCTAAAAGTGTAGGGTTACCATGAGACGAATTATAAATTTAGACATCGAGAGTTTAATTGGTACTTTATTTTTTGTGTTTGATTTGATACATACGGTAGAACGTGATTATAGACATAAAAAATTTACTTTGCAAGGGTAGGTCCAATGTGACTCAATTAAGAAAAATTTTAGAGTTAATAGTACTTTTGGTCTTTAATCAAATAATTTGTTAAGTGTTTTTGATGGAAGTAATTATATGTCATTCTTTCAGGTAGTATCAATGACCAATATGTGATTATTTCAATAAAAATTTAACGATCTATCTATGTAGGGACCATTTAAACAGGAATTAACACTACAACAAAAATTATTTTTTGCGATAATTTTGTCTCAAATTATTTTTTGCGACGTTTTTTTTTCGTCACAATAGTCTCGTCGCAAATTTTTTTTTTACATAAATAAAAATATGAAAAATAATAATTTAATTCATTTTTTGTGAGGTAAAAAAATCGTCGCTAATAATTTTTTACATAAATAAAAATGTAAAAAATAATAATTTAATTAATTTTTTACAATGTACAACAATCGTCGTTAATAATTTTTTACATAAATAAAAAATATAAATAATAATTGAATAAATACATTTGCAACGTATAAAAATCGTCGCAAAACAAATTATTCTTACAATTTTATGCAATGATTTTAATTTTGTCTCAAAAAAGTTCTTTTAAAAAAAAAATAATTCATAAAAGATGATATTCTAATAAAATTTTCNGTAGGTCCAATGTGACTCAATTAAGAAAAATTTTAGAGTTAATAGTACTTTTGGTCTCTAATCAAATAATTTGTTAAGTGTTTTTGATGGAAATAATCATATGTTATTCTTTCAGGTAGTATCAATGACTAATATGTGATTATTTCAATAAAAATTTAACGATCTATCTATGTAGGGACCATTTAAACAGGAATTAACACTACAACAAAAATTATTTTTTGCGACGATATTTTTTGTCTTCAATTATTTTTTGCGACGTTTTTTTTTCGTCACAATAGCCTCGTCGCAAAATTTTTTTAACATAAATAAAAATATAAAAAATAATAATTTAATTCATTTTTTGTGACGTAAAAAAATCGTCGCTATTAATTTTTTACATAAATAAAAGTATAAAAAATAATAATTTAATTAATTTTTTACGACGTACAACAATCGTCGTTAATAATTTTTTATATAAATAAAAAATATAAATAATAATTAAATAAATACATTTACGACGTATAAAAATCGTCGCAAAACAGATTATTCCTACAATTTTGTGCAATGATTTTAATTTTGTCTCAAAAAAGTTCTTTTTAAAAAAAAATAATTCATAAAAAAGGATATTCTAATAAAATTTTTNCAGCATATGCCTGTTCATTTGCAGAGGGAGCAAGCCCACCAACATACACCCGCCGAGAGAGATTGGCTAGAATAAAACATTTATTTACTAGGGCAGTTTTAATCAAATATATTTACTGTTACAGAGAAATTTAGTTCCATGGATAGTGAACCAATTAAGATGAATTGCAGAAAACCACACGCACCGNCTTTAGTCCTTCAAGAGGATTTGAACCATCTCTAATTACGTTTAATGTCTCTTAAACTTGAACAACTCTAGCAATCCCGCTCCATGCCTTGAAATACCATCTCTAAGCTCAACAGATCAGTATCAGAATCTGAACCACAATGCTGGAAATGAATCACTGCATAAAACCTNACAGATTACGATATGCATCCTTGTCAGACAAAAGCTTCCATAACTCATCAACACTAGATAACACAAAAGAGAACGACAAGAAGCGCAAACAATGCAAACCAAAAATTAGGAACTTTCGCTATCTAAATTATTCCCTAGGAATTACAATGAACTCTTCCTCTCTCGACNAAGTTGATACATCCACGTAAATAGATTGCAGGTATTTTTATGCTCAAGAGAAAAAAGACAGTTTGAACAAAGTAAAAGCTAAAGTCCCTTCTCAATAACGTCAGTAACAATCAGTATACTAAGACACATCCAAGTCCAGGAACATGTTTCCCATTTGGATTTGGACNGTTTGGCTTAATTATGCTATGGAATAAGGTAAGAGGTTTTTGTCTCATTTCACCGCAAGAGGCTTTACACATATCAATTTGCAGATGCATCAAGTGTGTCATGGAAGCTAATCAGACATTCATGAGGAAGGCCTCTCCCACCTCATTTGTTTGCTATAATATAAATACATACTGCAAAACACACAAATCAACACCGCCACAAAATAAAAACACAAATTATGTACATCGTCGCAAAAAAAAAAAACAACCCATAGCTTTTATTTTAGGAAAAAACAATAAATTACAAGTACAATTGTAAAATGAAAGTATAACTAAATAGGGAAGAGCTTAGTGATACCCTTCTTAGCCAAAGCCTGAACANTCAACACCGCCACAAAATAAAAACACAAATTATGTACATCGTCGCAAAAAAAAAAAACAACCCATAGCTTTTATTTTAGGAAAAAACAATAAATTACAAGTACAATTGTAAAATGAAAGTATAACTAAATAGGGAAGAGCTTAGTGATACCCTTCTTAGCCAAAGCCTGAACAATCTCTCCAGAAATCCCAAGCTTCGATATCTCAAGACCATCATCGACGGCCCCACTCGCTCCCGACGACTTATCTTCATCGGAGAAACTGGCGAACGCAAGTTCCGCCTGAGATAACACTTCGGAAGCCCTGAAATTCAACGACCCACCACCCACATGAAAATTCCTCGTTAGAACTCCATAGTTACCACTAACCCAATCGAGAGATTTCGATTGCTGTCTAATAGAAGTGGTGGAGGTGGAAAAGTTGTGACTTTTGGTACTAATAGGAGCATCTCTGGGTGTTGATGATGGTACTAATAGAAGAGTCGCGCTAGGGTTGATGATGGAGGCAAGTGTGAGTCGCTTTGAACATGGCGTTGACGACTTTCTCAGTAGGCGGAGGCTATTCATTTTCACTCGAATATATGCAGAGACAGACAGAGAAATGCAGGGTTTATGGAAGGGAAATTATTATTTTTAAAATTTGGGTCAATCTCATTTTACTTCTCGAAAATAGTTTGAATCTCAATTTGTACTTTCAAAGAGTAAAAATCTCAATTTACACCCTCAAAAATAGAAATTTGTATCAATGTGCACCCCAAAAATAAAAAATCTTAATTTGTACCCTCAAAGATAGAAATTTGTATCAATGTGCACCCCCAAAGATAAAAAATCTCAATTTACACCCTCAAAGATAGAAATTTATATCAATGTGCACCCCAAAGATAAAAAATCTCAATTTGCACTCTCAAATATAAAAATTTGTATCATTATGCACCTAAAACTAAATTGATAAATTATACTTAGATCCTCTCATGTTTGTCACTTAATCATTTGGACCTCTTTACATTTACAATATTACTCATACATCTCATGACATTTATGCACGTACAACATGTAACCCATTTTCATTGATATCTGTTAATATAACCGTTAAAAAATATAATT